AATAAAAAAATACTCGTTATTTCCAGAACGTAGGAAATATGAATATGTCAAGATTTGACTGTGAAAATCAATAGAAAATAAGTTAAAAATGATCTTAGCTTAATCTCAAACAAGTTTTGGAGATTTCAGAAGAACGAAGATCATTCATCAAGTTTTGAATTAGTTCTACTCATTTCAATCAAAACGTATATGAAACGGAAAGAACTTGCCATAAAATGTAAATAAATGACAAAACCAGGTAAGTAAATATTGAAAATAGGAAATAAATCATTACCCAAGTTTAGTCTACCTCCTAGGCAATTGGAGACACCGGCGTGGCGGCTTGGTTTCGTCTGAATGTGTCACACCACGCCAGAAGTTGCAGAAGTATCTCCCGGAAGTGTTGTGCCGCTTGCCTAAGAGATCTGCTAAAAGAGGAGTCAACCATGTTGTCACCATTGTCTGGGGGGAGAAGGAAAGAGTTGACCACTTGCCGGAGGCCTTGAGTGCAGTCAAAGGAGGAAGGAAGAAGCTTGCCGATCGCCAGAGACGTCGATCGTGCAAAAGGAGGGAAGAACAGATTTCATATTCACGTCCGTTGTCAAGCTTTTAAAGATAATCGATAATGTCTATTTTACTAGACAATAATTGATTATTATCTTTATGTTCCTGATGGTGATATGTGTGAAGACTTAAGTTCCCGGTATCATGGCGCTTTGGGAGCCAGTGGATTAGATGAGCTTGGTACGTGGCGCACTAAGCAATGCAAGATCAACCCGTCGAACCGTTGCCAATTGAGAACTTAAGTTCTTGGTACCATGGCACCTCTATAGCCATTGGATCATCCTTTAAGGCCACGTGTGTGTTGAGCGGCGTCAGATTCGCGAACCACTGATGGATTGCTTTACACATCTGGTACCTTGGTGGTTCGCTAGCTGCAGATTTGGCTAATCTGATGACGTGGTTCTTTGAGTATCGCTGGATCACACGCACTCCAGATGGCAACACTGAAATAGATGAAAACATTTAGTCCCACATCGAAAATATATCAGACGCATGTGCCTAATATAAACTAAAGCTTCTCTCTCTTAGTAGAGATCCCTTCTCCCAAAAAAAAATAATGCCCATGACCATTTTGGGAGAAGGCAATAAAGTGGTCCGCCCTCACGCGCGCACATGTGTATGGGCGCCCCTTGCCCCACGACCAGTTGGCCACCGAGACGTGGAAGGGGAGCGACACACATGTGCATTGAGTGAGGCCTTCCCCACTCAAGCCCAACTCGTGGCTCCCCTAGTCTAGGTCTACCCACTCGATCGTTGTCCCCCCTCTGGGTCAACTATTGGGTGCCGGCTTGCTAGTGGGCAGAAGATTTTTTATATATATTTTTATTTTTATTATTTTAATAATAAAAAATTATGCTAAGTATTTTAATTTTAGACTTTTAAAATTAACAATATATCATATATTTATTCTACAAGTTAATAAAATAAAATAAAATAAAATAATAAAATTAATTAAAACACATAAATCTAGCTTTAACAGAGACTTGTCGCCACCTCCTAAGAGTGTACTAGATGCGATGAAGAGTTTTCCTTTGTTACATGGACCAGAGGATGAAGCTCCTTAAGATACCCCCCACCTCTACCTAGCTGATCCCTATTAGATTACAGTCACTAGAGAGCCAATTGATAGCTGTTGAAGATGATTCGACGACTTACTTCATTAATTTCTAGACTTTATAAGAAAAGTTAGAGATTATTCACATCGTCTTTGTCCAAGAAGAGCCTTTAGGCTGTGAACATTGTATGACAATAATTCAAAATGCTTAAGATTCTGGCACATCGTCGCCACAATGTTGAAATTTTATTTTTTTATTTTTAATTAGTTTATAATTTCACCATCATTTTCTAGAATTCAAAAAGAGATCTAGTAAATTCTTAGGTCATCTATATCTAAAGAGAGCCCTTAAGGTCATGGACATCGTACGATAACCATCTTGAACACACATAATTTCGACAATTGTAGTCATGAGGTCGAAACTTTGCACTTCTTATTTTCAACTTAATTTTCATTTAATTTAGTGATACTTTGTGTGATTTTAAGTTTTGAAACTCTTTTTCATTAAATTACATTTTTTTTGACTTTTACAATCTTAATTTGACCAATTAAATTGTCTATAATTGCTTACGTAAAAATTATTTGTCATAACTCTATTTCTGCCCAATTCATGTTCGTCAGGGTGCTAATGTCATCTTGATGCTTGCACCCTTATTTTTCTTTTTTATGAATTTTAAATATATTTTATTTTCATTACTAAGTCTAAAACTCATAAAAAATTATATTCTTTATCAAAAAATTTAAAATATTACTGATATTATATTATATCCTTATGATCAACCTAATTTTTTTCATTATTTTTGTAACTTTTATTGAATTATAATTGATATATTCGTTCATAAATACTTCTAAATATCTAAAAATTAGTGTTTTATAAATATTTAAATTTGTGTGATTTATTATATAATGACTAAGTTATGTCAGATAATAACACTTACAACAAACTTAGATATTCCATTCTTTAGATCTTAAGGCTTGAAGTAGCTGAAAATAATGTCAATTGATTTGAAGATTTTATCGAGGGACAGATTGATGATGAACCAAGATATATTGTTGACTAGTAGTTGAAGATTAATGTTGAAGCTTCATAAAATCCCACAAAAATGAACTCAGTGCCTCTAAATTGGAGGATTGAAAAAGGAGAACTCAATTTGAATGACGTTAGGATAACACTGATAAATGACAAAAAGATAATATACCTCAAAATGACACAAGATGAAAGTAAGCATGAAACCCTTGCAAAGCAAACCTACTTTGATACTATCAACTTCTATAAGAAGAGAGAAAAAGAGGGATGATCTATCTCAAAGGATAGAGGGGACATGTGGTAGAAAGACTAAAATGATTTTTCATTACCAAGTAACACCTATCATATAAGGTGTGAACCCTACACAATATTTCCTAGAATAGGATTATGCTACATAGTAATACTCTCTCTCTCTCTCTCCTTTTTCATGGGCCAAGAGTTGGGGGTGCCATTTTTCTTGAGTAGTCAAGAACTTTAACTCTGTAACCTCATTGAAATATTACATCCTCTATATTTATTATGCTATACATTTGAAATATTTATTTCTTCATACTATAGTTGACCCATAAACTTGTTGACTCTCTAACCTCATTGAAATATTACATCCTCTATATTTATCATGATAAATATATACTTATTTGGGTTAAACAGAGAAAATAATTTTTATGTGATTAATGTGAATTTTTGGTTAATTATGTGATTTTATATGATTTTTACATTCACATTTTCAAGTTAAAATAAAGAAAAAAATTAAAGAAATTACAAAAAAGTGGGGACCCACTAGTCAGCCAACACTTGGCAGTTAACCCTCGAGTGGGTGGACCCATACCGAGCAAATCATGAGTTGGGCTCAAGTGGCTCAAGGAACCCATGTAGAGCATGTGTGCATTGCTCCTCTTCCACATCACACATGTGTATGTGGTGGGGACCACTTGATATACCCCTCTCCCTAAATGGTCATGACCATTTTGTTTATGAGAGAGGGAACTCAAATGTAGACTGAAGCTTAGACTTATATTGATATAAAATCTCTCAAAACAATTAATGTGGGACTAAACCTTCGGCAATGCTCATCGACAAAAAATAATACTTAAATTACCCCTATGATAAGAGAAGAAATTAAATTTGTGTGTTCACTATATTAAGAGTATTATGACAATTTATTGAGCTTTACTTACGAACCCAAGTGATGATAAGTGGAGGTTCAAATCTCATGATGCCAAAACTTACATTATTTTGTTTTAACTCCATGATTTTCCTACATAGAGCAAGTCAAAAAAATAGCTGCTAGAGATGGTCAATTATTGATGAAATCTTCGTCAATAATAATCAAGGATTGTCGTTAGCAACTAACAAAGAATTCTAGATAAAAAGATCACAAATTTCTAGAAAAAATCATCTTCAATTAGTCAATAAATGAGTCATCATTAAGAACAAGGTGATCTATTTAGAGACTCATCACAATCTCTTCAGAGTTTTTGAATCATGATACAAGCCTCCTTTTGTTGCACATATATGAGGAAGAAACTCCCTTAGACATGCTCCAGAATTTTTTTATTTTCCTCTATTTTTTTTTAAATTCTTACAATATTTTAGTCCAAAAATCATTGAAAATACATTCTTTAAAAAAAGTTCGACTTTTATCTGATATTATTTTACATCCATATGATCAGCCTAGATTTTTTTTAATTTTTTGGAGTTTTTAATTAAATTATAATTGATACATGTTTATGAAAATATTTCTAAATTTTGAAATTAATGTTTTTTATGTTTATAAATTTAAAATTTATGTGATTTAATAAATAATGACTGTGTCACATCACTTATGTACTGAAATCCATAATCTTCAAAGTCGTCTTGAAAATTTACCTCCAAATGATCTAAAGAGTAGTTTTCAGCAGCTTGAATGACCCAAAAGTTGTTCTGACTTTGACTAATAAATAGGAGAGGTACCATGGCTAATTGGGGTTTGGCTTTTATTGTTGGGTACTTAGAGAGGTATTATTACAAATGTGAGACTGAGAACCCAGTTTGCATGTGATATTATTTATTACGAGCCCCTTGAGTTTTGATAATTACCTTAGTCGTCCTCAATTGATCACTAGCTTTGTACCAACATCAAAAAATACTTTAATAAAAACCCCCATATATTAAAATCTGACACGAGTTTATGTATTGCTCATAGTTTAGTTCTAATTAATATGAAATACCGTTAATATTTGGTTGAAATTTACTTAGTATCGAATCCATAGATGTAGGGAGATATTCGCAAGATTTTGTGAAAAAATGATTGGATTATTTATTTGGAACTATAAATACGGGCCGACGAGGATACCTACTGTCTTCACTCGGAGTTTGTTCCTCCGTCGCCAGCTGATGCGCGGGACGGGACGGTTTCTACTGAAGAAGAGGGGCCTCGTCTTCTCGGGGCCGTGCCGCGATCCGCTTCCCGGACGCTTACGCCGGCGCTTTGCTAGTGGTGCTGGCGGCGGCGGCGGCGGCGGCGCCGCCGCCGCCCCCACCTGCGCGGCCAGGGGCTCCGACGTCGCTTCTTGCTTCCGCGGGATCGATCTCCGATCCAACATCGCGCTAGTCTACAGCCTTCTCGGGAACCGGAGGTTCTCCCCCGCACGGGAGAGCCTCAGAAGCTTCGTCTCCAAGAATCGAGATCATTCTTTCTCCTCCGTCGCCTCCGCTGTGGACGTCTCCGTGGCGAGAATTCGTATTTCTTCGACATTGGTGGACATGCTCTTTAGGTCGTATTCCGACGCCGGCATGTTCGATCAAGCTTTCGCGGCTTTCGAGTTCTCGTTGGAGAAGTTCGGTAGCTTCGACCAGCGATCCTGCGACATTCACTTCCGGAACCTCAAGAAGGCTCGCGAGTTCGATCTCTCGCTCAAGTTCTTCCGTCGCGTACTCGAACTGAACGGCCGCGTCGCGATTTCAGTACACTCGATGGCCATGGTGATCGATGGGCTCTTCAAGACGGGGAAACTCGAGCTTGCAAGGCAAGTGTTCGACGAAATGCTTGAGAGGGGGCTCAGGCCCAATATCTACCCGTATAATTCATTGATTAAGGCCTACGTCAACGGAGGAGATTTCGATTCCGCTCTGGGGATGTGGACCCTGGTAGACAAGAACGGCGTCAGCGGCAATGCCGCGACCTACACGCTTCTCATCGACGCCTTCACGAAATTGGGAAAGATCGAGGAAGCAGAGAAGCTGTTCGAGGAAATGACCAACAAGGGGGTTCGTACAGACATCCAATTTTTCACGGCAATGATCGATCTCCACTGCAAATCTGGGGACATGAAGCGAGCATTTGTCCTCTTTGACGAGTGCGTCAACCAGGGGCTGTCGCCCAACGCTCACACCTACGGAGCACTGGTCAACGGGCTCTGCAAGTTGGGGCACATGGAAGCAGCCGAGATGTTGATCAACGAAATGCAGGGCAGAGGAGTCGACATAAATCTGGTGGTGCTCAACACCCTGATGGACGGGTACTGCAAGAAAGGTATGGTGGCTAAGGTTCTTCATCTGCAGGCCGTGACGGAGAAGAAAGGCATGAACCTGGATGTGTACGCCTACAACACGATTGCCTGCGCACTGTGCAAGTCGAAGAAGATCGACGAAGCGAAGAGGCTGCTGCATCTTATGGTGGAGAGAGGGGTGTCCCCAAACACCGTGACCCTCACCACGCTGATCGACATTCACTGCAAGGAAGGAGATTTAGTGGAGGCGAGGAGGATCTTCCGAGAGATGGAGAAGAGAGGGTCGAGCCCTAACATCGTCAGCTTCAATGCACTCATTGATGGGTACAGCAAGAAGGGGAGCCTGAAGGACGCCAAAAGCCTGCACGAAGAGATGGAGAAGATAGGAATTTTGGCGGATGTCTACACATACACGTCGCTCATTCACGGGCACTGCGTGGTTGGGAAAGTTGATGATGGGATGAAGTTGTTCAACGAAATGAGAGTGAAGGGTATAGCACCGAATGTTGTCACATACAGTGCGATGATCTCGGGGTTGTCTAAGGAAGGGAGATCAGAAGAGGCATTCAGGCTGTACGATGACATGCTCGAGGTAGGGCTGAAGCCTGATGACGCCATGTATTCATCCCTTGTGGGTAGCCTCTATGCTTAATTTTAACTGTAAAAATTTTGCTGCGGGGTTTCAAGCAGCGGAGAACTGACGCAGTCAAGGATTGGTCTAGTGTCTAAGAGGATCCCAGATGAGCACCGAGAGATATTAACAGATTGAGATTCCCACTAAAAGAGGAGTTCAAAAAAATAGGAGACTTAAATTTCGGTTTATACCGAATGATTTATTGTGTTTGACGAAAGGGATCCATTTCCATATGGTCAGGGCAACAACTGATGTGCACTAGTCCTCGTTCCTTCAAATTTCAGTTATGAATTTTCGAATTATTGAAATGGAAGCTATTACTGCGGCCCGTATGATCAGTGGGAAACGCTAATGAAAAATCGTTACACTACAATTGGATGCTGTGCAAGATCATGAGCGCCAGTGGTTGCACGATTGCCATGTTCTGTGAGATCCTTCGTCTTCTGATTCCCGTTAATGGTAATTGGATCCTTCGTCTTCTGTCGGGGGACATGCTTGAAGAATTATGAGATAATCCCCATGGGTGTATCATTGTCCATACGATTGGATTTTACAGAGGGGGATATCGGCCTGCGTAAAGGCCAAAATTTCCATTCATTCCTCTTCAATTCCAGTAATTGTACTGGAAATGGTTTGCATGAAGTGGGTGCAATTTCCATCCCCGGCTCTTAATTGATTCAATCAAATATAATACGTTTAAGACCTCTCCGAAGTACCGCAGGACTGTTCTTTCACGGAAGACATGATTATCAGAACAAGTGGAATCATCTAAAGTCTTACGATCGGATGCAAAATGTCTGGGTATTTCCAAGTTCTTGGGTTGATAAATATTTGGGCACACCGAAATGTGAGAAGATGATGCGTAGGATGAGCTATGTTTAGCAATCTTGAAATGAAACAAATGATACATTATGTCGAGGGCTGTTCGGTGGGTCTCACCCAGAGACAACAACCAAACAAGTGACGATAGGAGATGACGCCGGGGCCAAAGCGCGGGTGGGCCTTAAGTGTACGGTACCTTGTTGCCTGAAGTGGCACTATGAACTTTTTCTGGTTTCTCCTCAGCCTCCATAATCTCCTTGCTAGCTTTAGATTTCCGGGCTCCGATACATTTTTGCTATCATCTTTCATCTGCGAGGCAAGAAACTGTAGAAACCCAAGAAGAGAAAGGTAGGGAGGGAGGAAGGGATATTGTTTTACCCCTAGGTTCCTTAGACTGTTTGCGACGTCTTCTTGCTGCTGCTGAAGAGTTGTCCGCAGCGCTTCAAACTCCTGGCTCTGTGCCGTCAGAATCAGCGGGAAAAGAAAATGAGATAACAAGACAGAAGTCTTTCATCATAGAACTTACGGATTTCAGTTGCTCCACGTCAGTGCCTAGTGATTTCTTAAGCACTGAAAGCTCCTGCGACGAAATAGGTGAGTTCACTAATAAGGTCGACAAAATTTACATAAATTAAGGGTAACGGAAGAGAATAAATTTCCCGATTATTGGTTCCGTCGATAGTATACAGACGGAGCCTTGGAGTTTACTTTGGAATTTGCGGAGTTTCAGGTGAGCCAACTCCGGCTTTGAGAGGGGGGCCAGTAGATTATGTCTGAATTTAGGCCTGATTGAAACTGTCCCTGATCGAGGCAGATGATCAACGGAAAACTACATCTTCTATATCATCTCCCTAGTTAATAATTGTTGGAAGTGAAGCTTCGGGTTAAGGTCAAAATGAAATTTGAATCATGCGTTAAAATAATATAAGGTTTTATTAAACCGTAGATTCCAGCAACTTCAGAGGCAAGAAGGATGAAGCACGCACTTCCTTGTACGTTCTGACCTGCGTGTCCAGCTTCAATCTCCAATTTTGCAACTCCTGCGGCAATTTTTTCAACGTTCGTCTCATCCATCAAGTTGCAATGCGTTATCAATCTTAATCATAACTCGGAAACAACTACATTCTAAAAGAAATTGGATCCTCCTGTTTCGATCCTTGGAGTTTAGCCGCCACCTCTGCCTGTGACTCGTTCAGTTCCTGAAGGAAACGGAGACGACGTTAATCTAAGCCGAATCTCAAACACAAGCAAGCCCGAAGTAATCAGAATCGGAAAACGATCCATCTGGGCCATGGGGCCTGACATACCGCCATCTTGGCGTCGATCGGGCGGCGTCGATCTGTGTCTTTCTTGTCTTTCTAGACAAGAAAGACACAGATCGTCAGGAAATAGGAGGATCTGACAGGGACCGCAGCCAGTGAAACGGATAGACCTCCCGGAGATGAAGTTCATCGAGAACTGCGGGGAACGTATAACTGACATATTTCACTGGAGAAGAGAGGAGAAGATGAGCTCACAGATTGGGACAGTGGGTAAGCGGCGGCGCCACCTCCAGTGGCGGAAGCTGGAGACGACGGCGAGGGCTCCCCATTAGCCATTGACGGTAGCTGATCTCCAAGTCAGAAGGTTCCTTCCTCTGCTTTTGGCGTCTTCTCCGTCGGCCGACCAGCGGCGGTAGGATTTCAAATCCTCTAGAACAAACAGTTCAAGGCCCCAGTCATGACCACTACAATCATTATTAATTCATAAAATTTTAATTTAAATGGTTATTTCCGAATAATTAAATTGCTGAAAACCCAGAGAAAACCACGAAAGAGGAAAAATACAAATTATTGAAAAAGATCAGGCCTTGTTGATAAGTGGCTTGAGCATACCGGCCCATTAATATTTGCCCGTTACTTCTTCCACATCGGTGAGAAAAAAGAACATTCCGGAAAACAGAGGGGGATGCGTCGGTGTTTTCCTTTACGGTGGCAGCACCTCTCCGCTCCTCAGTGATTTCTCGGACCGCAATCATCCGCCGCCGCTCGCCGTCCCCAATTCCGGTGGTGGTGGTGGTGGGGGAGGGTGGAAAGTGGGGAAGGCGATGGGCGCCGGCGGCGGTGGGGATGAGGAAGGAGAGGGGGGGACAGCGGGTTCGTTCATATACAGCTTCGTGGCGAGGGGGACAATGGTGCTGGCGGAGTACACAGAATTCACCGGGAACTTCCCGGAAATCGCTGTACAGTGCCTTCAGAAACTTCCGTCCTCAAACAGCAGGTTCACCTACGCTTGCGACCACCACAGCTTCAATTTCCTAGTTGAGGACGGTTACGGTGCGTCCGCCCTCCTCTGCTTGCTTCCCTCTCAGGATGTAAATTTTCTCCCGATATCCTGGTAATCTGGTTGCTTATGTTGGTCGCTCCTGTCGGGTAATGTCATAATCACGCTAGAACTTTCAAGTGAGAAGGCTGCCACGTAAGTTTACTGGTTGAGAAGATCATATTTGATCTGTTGCCATGATCAGCATTTCCAATTGTATCAATCGTTTGTCATCTGGATACTGTCAACCAAATACTGTTTTCTACATTCTCGAGGAGCTTAGGCTTTGGTAGAAGAACAGACTCCTCGAGGCTACGTGCTAGGGAGATGGGCTAATGGCAGAACAAAGGAAAAATAACCGGCGAAATTAGGAGAACACTGGGCAGATCCGTACCAAAGAGTAGAGCTTTGTCTTTCGTCTCTTGCTCCGATATCTTCATCATCCTAATCACGGTACTTATCCTGATTCGGTGGTTGTACATCTCAGGGAATTTATAAATAGATTGAAAATTTGCTGGCAGAAAACGACCTTAGATGCTATTGTGTTATCTCTAATATGAAATGAGGATATTTTTGTTCCTGCCTGCACACGGCGTAAACTGGCCAACTGGTTCCCAAGTAGTATAAAAATAAAGTTAATAGAGATTGCAGCCTTTACCAGTCAACACCCGTAGGACTGATGTGACAGCATTTAATCTTCATTAGGCTCAGAGTCTGTGTTTATCCGGCAGCTTTGTTCAGTGATTGTGTAGTTTCGTAAGCCTAGAAGACCCCATCACTCATGCTTGCAAACATTATTTTTTAAAATTATTTATAAGATCATAGTCAGCTCACTTTTTCACAGGAAGCGAGAGAAGGATGATCTTACCTTAAAATACTTGTGTGAAGGTAGTGACTGGCTTGGAATATCTGTCAATGTTGGAACTGTTTGCATCCAGTAAAGAGGACTGCATAGAGGATTACCTGAATGACTCAAAGCTGACATCAAGATTACGTCTATGTTTGTGTGTGTGTGTGTGTTTACAACGTTTTCCTTTATATTTTACATATCCATTATCTTATTTTTATTTTTTCATTTTTTCATTTTTTCTTTGTTAATTTTTCGTCCCTTTTTCTTTTTATACGTATATATGTGTTTCCATAGTCTTTGTAACTTGGTAATTTTGTTTTCGGGCAATCAACATGAAGGAATATATTTATATTTTTAGAAAGCATACTTCCAGTCCCCACAGCCAATGTTTGTTATGTTTTGGCTAGAAAGTATGTGGATTGGTGTGGTCTATCAGGACAAGTAGTTTTATCTATTTGGGAATCGCTTTTCTGATTGTATGCTACCACTGGACATCAGACGAGCTCAGTAATGAGGATAATAATGATGGATAGGAGGCATACTGTCATGCAATTCCCAACCTTTAGCAGTGGAACGACGAACATGGCATTTATAAACGTGTGAGTTACACCATGTGATGATGCTGAAAATGGCGGAAATAAATGCTTGAAGGGTCTGAGCAATATAAAGTGAATGTGCATTGTTAAGAAAGTTATATGTAAGGTACTATAAATTTGACTAGGTTGTGTTGGAATTGAAACCTGGCTTGTAGTGAACCGGTTCCTCTGAATCCAGTCTCAGCAGCACCAGGAAGGCTTTAATGTAGATATGCTGAGGAACATGCTCATTAGTGTTTGACGTGTGTAGTTTGGCTGCTCAGTTTTCAAATATTTGATTAAGAAAGGGTGCAATGATCCACGAACACTAAAAATGGACCAGATTTAACTTTAATTAGTTAAAAACACAAATTAATTTGAAAGTTAAGCTCTCATTCGAAATACACTCGTATTTGGAGCTGGAATATCCCAGTTTCCTTGTCACTTGAAAGAACCGTCATGCTGTAAACCGATTTGGGTTCACGAAGTCTGAGATATTGTATGCACCATCAAGAATGTAAATAACGCAAAAGATTACCCACTGAACATTTATGTCAGATATAATGATGTACAATATTATATGCACTATAATATTCTTATTCTCTTCGTTTACGATGAAAAGGGAAGGATTAGCTTCTGAACGCAAATTTCCACTTATTAATTCGTCCATCTTCTATCTATGTATCTACTACATTTTATCCAGTCTTTGGCATTAATAAACGATGACTAATGGGGTTATTGTTCCTCTCTAATTTACTTATAAAAAATTATTCAAGAAAACCTAAATCCTAAGGTCAGAATGGTTCATCCAATCTTATCCTTTTAATCACTATACAATAAGAAAAAGGGCAGGGAGAAGAAAGTTCGTGATCATTTGAAAAATATCTTATCATGCACCTGGAGGCTCCCAGAGTTTGTAATGGTTTTCCTTATTCTAAGGTTGATGGACTAGATATCATTATTTCTGTATAAAATAGTATGCAACGGGTGAAATCTCGAGTTATTATTATTTTTTGGCTCTCCTTTGTTGAACTGATATCTAATCTTATTTATTTCCACAGCATATTGTGTTGTTGTTAAAGAATCTGTCGGGAAGCAGATCTGCATGGCCTTTCTAGAACGTCTAAAGGTGGACTTCAAAAAAAGATATGGAGGTGGTAGAGCAGATACAGCTCTTGCCAAAAGCCTCAACAAAAAATTTGGGTATGTTTGTTGAATTTGTTCCGGTTTTTGTTCATTTTACTTCATCGGAAGACGCGTTCATTTGTTGGAGCGTTGATCAACTATGCAGTCCTGTTATAAAGGAGCATATGCAATACGTCATCGAGCATGCTGACGAGCTCATTAAGCTTCTCAAGGTCAAGGCCCAGGTTTCAGAAGTCAAGAGCATCATGCTGGAAAATGTAGAGAAGGTACTTGGGTTACCCCGCTCCCGTCTGTTTGGCTTCTCTGTAGCGGTCATTATTTGGTCTGCAAATCTGCGGCGTTTCAACGAGTAGGAATTATCTCACGGGCGACAATCGAATGCTTCACAGAACAAACGACGAACGATTGGTATTACTTTTAACCATATATGAACCTACCTAGATCCAAAAACTTGAACACCGTTTCCAACTCTCTCTCTCTCTCTCTCTCTCTCTCTCTCTGTCTATCGATGTATCTACTGTCACAGGGACCTGCTGAGGCTTCTAGCCTTTCCTTCTCCTTTTTTCATTGTGTTTTCATCTGGTTGACCACTGTTCTTCCCTCTCCTTCATCAGAACTTAAACCCAGTGGGTTTTCTTTTCAGGCCGTGGACAGAGGGCAGAAGATCGGTGATCTGGCCGAGAAGGCAACAGACCTACGCTGTCAGGTTGTTCTTCCTAGCTTAAACAACCCACTCCTTTTTTGGTTGCTAAGGGGCCACCCAGACCCATTTGAAATCATTTTTGGCAGGCACAGGATTTCAAGAAGAAGGGGGGTCAGGTCCGCCGCAAGATGTGGCTTCAGACCATGAAGGTCAAGCTGGTCGTCCTCGTCGTCCTCCTCCTACTCGTCCTCATCGTCTGGGTCACCGTCTGCCAGGGATTCGACTGCACCAAGTAGCCCTCCCCAGTGACAGCAAAGCACAACAGAGGCGGCAGGCATCTCCAGTGGCAGCCACGTCGGCAGAATCCGGCCCCTCCAACTCACTTGGCCACGTGGATGGCTCAGATGCGGCGGCCGGGGACCCAATAACATGAGTGAGGTCAACCCCCCTTCTCTTTCACTGATCTCACCCGTTTCTTTGTGGCTCATGTGATCAATAATTCTACTTAAGTCTATTATTACGGAGTTGTTCTAGAAGAAAATGTACGAATTTGGAAATGAATATGTCAAGGAATATTGAACGAAAGGGGGAGTTTTACCTGAGAGAGGCAAGGGCGGCAGCGACGGATGAGATCAGAATCAAAGTCAACCCCTTCCTGGACCGCAAGAACTCCTTCCAAGTCAAGGGTCTGGTCACCAGGGCGAGGACCTCCTGGAACCGCAGTCTGGTGTCCTCGAGGGAGCCTGAGTTGTCGATCACCACGTCCGCTTTCTCCCTCTTCCAGTCAAGAGGGGCCTGGGCGTTGACTCTGTTCCTGGCCTGCTCCTCAGAGGTGTCGTCCCTCTTCATGAGACGTTTCAGCTGCGTTTCGCGGTCAACCCAGACGACGACAATGGGCTTCGTCCATCGGTCCATTTTGACTTCAAATAGCAGCGGGATGTCCAGGACGATGACGTCAAATCCCTTGAGCCAGAGCCTCGCAACTTCCCAGGTTATCCCGGAGGATATGTGGGGCGCCAACAGGCTACAAAGGAGTGACAAACAGTGAAGAGAGTTCACCAATAATAAAATATTACGCGTGGAGTTATTCAGGGTGAATGATTTTTACTTTTTTAATGCTTTTTACATAAAATAAAATAGAAAAAAATGGCCCACTACTCGAACTTGCTATTGGCTAGCTCGTAAATAGTCATTGGATTGGCCATTGTGAACTACTTTTGTCAAACGTTCTAAGCAGAAAACTCGAGGAGATTGTCATCCTATAAAAGGATTAACTCCATTGCATTGAACAATGAATTATACACCTCAAAAACTATACTTTCATATTACTTCTAAGCAGTGGAAGCTGCTGTGTACAATAAAAAAAACTTCCACACCATTGGACCCTCATGTGTGTGCTGAAAGAAGCTCTATGACAAAAACTTAAGAGCTATTTGTTGTGTTCGTTGATAGATGCATTTAGTACTTAATGTAATCATTGGATTGAACACGAAGTTCCCGACTTTGGAGCCAGCTTGTTCAGTAAGGTGTGGGTGGGTGGGAGAGTGCTGAGAAAATATGAAAATGCAGGAAACCGCTCTTCAGCCAGGTCTTTCCTTTCTCAGAAAGTTTTTAGCTCGTTTTCAGCTGGTTATCTCAGCCGTCCTTGGTCCCTCGACCCAGTTCCAGCATTTCCGAGGACAGAAAAAGGGGAAATATGTCGATCTCAGATGGGGTGGTCCGTGGGAAATTCATCTGCATGATCTGTTTATTTTGGAGTACAACAAACAAAATGGCTTACAAATCAATGAGAATGAAGGAAAGAAGAGCTTTCGTTTCTGTTCAAAGAGCATCGTAAGATCAGTGAGCGGATCTCTATGGCCAACACACTCAGCATGAGCTAAAAAACTAAAGATATCCGCAATATCAGAAAATACTGTAGCAAACTGGGTATAGAGCGGCATAATATCCCAGATCATACTATTCATCTTCATTTAAAATCCAAGTATCTCTTTTAATTTCTAACACATGGACCTACATGTCTCCTCGAAGATGCATGCATCAATCACGTAGTGGAACTGTAACATGATTGTATATCCTCGCTGCAAAAGGTTCTAATGAAAAGCTACTGAGAATCTGAGATACTTTCCAGCACGGAAGATTCCTTTAGACTTAAAGAACATATGGACGCTAGGATCCCATTTGGTTCTTAACAAAAAATTGATTTTATTCAATTCAGAAACTTAGAACGGATGTCAACCATGACTAGAAGCACTCAAGAAAGGCTTTCCCCTTTTAAACAACACAGAATGTCTCAAACAAAAAGAGACATACCTCATGCCAATGGCGATTCATTCATATTTTTAAATGAAGAAGTTAATGAGAAAGAATCTCTACCATTCAAATAACGAAAGAGTTGTGAAATTCAAAGATGGAATTGGCTTTAGTGATACTGAAAAGGAAATAAAATTTGGGTCTCCACTCTTCGAATTTGATTCATTGTTATTCTTATGTGAAAAAGTTGATAATAAGAATCTGCACTAATCAAATAACGAAAGCAGTGAAAACAGTTTGAAATTTCCGGATGGAATTGGCTCTAGTGATACACTGATATGAGGAAATAAAATTTGGGACTCCACTACTGCTACCATTTAAGATTTTTAAGGAAAGTCCAGACTGAAATTAGGATAATAATGTACGCCATTAAGAATTGTAGACATTCTAGCCGCCCTTTTAAAACAATACAAACAGATTGCCATACATAATCTAACATGCTTTGAGTAGTCAACTATCATCGTAGCTACTCTAATCGTATCCTTCCGTCTTACAACAGAAAGCGGCACAAATGGCTACAAATGACACCATGAGTGCCGGGCCAATTTACAAGAAATAATGTGACAAATGGATAAACTATGCTGAATTAATTCCTAAAAAAATTGAACGCGACAGGTCAGAGGTAATACCGATTTAGAAGTTGACGCTTTTCTGAGTCAGAAAAGACAATTTGCCCGAGGTGTGCCCTGTCGACCTCGCCACTAGCGTGTAAAATTTCTTCACCAAATGCTGCTACGACCTTTTTCCACCCACTGGTTCCTTTCCTCAGCACATCCTATAATAATGCAGTCTGTGAGTACGACCAAAATATACTGACCCTCGAAACAGAAAATGCAATAATGTCACGGATTTTAAGTATTCCCTCCCACATTGATAAAGAGAACGAACAGAAAGGATATTTTGTCCACCATGGTCCCACCAAGAAAGTAAGAACTACCAGAAGAAAAGTGCTCAAAGGAGAAAGAGAACGAAAGAAAGGGTGGAAAAGATGATGTACAACGTCGCACAGAGAAGATGACACACGACGTATGTGAACAGAGTGAAGTCCTGAGATGCGACCTGCCTTTTTTCTCAGAATGAATCAAAGGATTTAAAGCAAGGCTTTTTACTTGGACCGGGTTCCATTACCTTCTCTCCCACCATTAAGGAAGAACTACCGGAGGATAAGGGCTGAAGGAGAGAAAGAGAAGCAATGGAAAGCAACAGAAAAGATGATGTATGATGTCGCACAGAAAAGATGATATAGAACGAATGTCGACGGATACTTCATGTTTGGAGTGAAGTCCCGAGATCCGATAAGCCTCACCCTCTTTCCAGGAACGAATCCAAGGAGATAAAGCAAAATTTCATCATTGGATCAGCTTCCATTGTCTTCTATCCCACCTCCCACTACCACACACTAGAGTTCACATGGATATTCGGACTATGACTGAACTTGAATCACCAACGGGCAAATATCACATACTAACCCTTAGCTTTCTGGAAACTTTCTCATAATTTCTATTGTTTCGACGTATCTAAAGAATTATAGTGCTATAGATATATGGGTCCTCATCTAAAGTCTTCTACTTCGATTTCTCATGCTTCTATCGCAGCTTCCATTCAATTTCACCGTCGATCTAGTAAAATGATTTTGTTGGCTAAACCTCGCTGTCCCGGCGGAAGACAAACCGCACGGTTCAATCTTTTTTTAATCTGTTCATTTCATTATTTCTGGCTAAACACAACTTTTTCGAAATATCTGCTTCAAGTTTCGCCGCCTTGTATATTCAGTTCTCGATATCATAACCAGATGATCTAATTGGAATTAACATGTCCGCTGAATCAAATCAAGTGCAGAAATCCGATTATCCAAATTTCAAGAAGTGACTAACCCTAACTCAATCCCGGAGGCAATCAGCGACAAAAAGAAGAATTAGCGAGGCAGGAACCATACACGAGCAATGACATCGGCGTCGACGACGGGAAGGCCGCTGGATCTAAATAGGTCGGAGACGGTGCTCTTCCCTGACGCGATTCCTCCCGTCAATCCCACAATCCTCATCCCGCCCCGCCTTTCCCCGCCTGTCGCGAAAAAACAGAACAATAGTAGAACAAGGAGAAGAGCGGACGACGCGCGTCCTGAATTTGGACTCAACGGATTCCGCTGACGATCTGCTGCTGCTTCTTTGAAGAGATACAGGCTTCCATTCCGCTGGAGAACGAAGGACCAGCGCCAGAAGAAGGGTTGAGAGAGAGAGAGAGAGATCCTGACTGCAAGCTGACGTCACAGGAGACCGAGGAAGTTTATTATCGCTGACGTCACTCCTACTGAACTATTATTAGTCCTCATATTTGTTATATGCATGATACACACTCGTCGCCGACCTTTTGCTCTTCGTGTTCCTCGGCGCGACGAACGCCACAAGCAGAGAAAAGATCCCGCCGCCGCCGCCGCCTCCGGCTCCCCCTCGCCAGCAGGAAAAACCCTTGCGTCAGCCGAGGCCAAAAAGCCTCCTTTTCCTCCTCCTCATCTGTCGTGAACAACGCCTGGGCGTTAGTCGAGATGCGACATTCCGACGTAACACACTCGGATGGCATCGATTCTGCTTCTTCTCGACGGCAACTTTCTCCGATTCTCCATTATTCTCGAGCGGCGCGCAGAATTTTTCCTGAAAATTCTTTACGGTTTATTCCCTCCACTGGGGAAGATCCAAAACTTGATTATTCAGTCTGTGCCCCGCATCAAGCTTGCAGAAACACGTTGCTTTAGCGTTCGCCGCAAGCCAGTTGCAATATTTACTACGCCGCCGATCTGCGAGGACGGCGAACTGTTGCTTAATCTCCCCCAAACGTTAGATTTACCCATAATCTTGGAGGACGATAGCTTCCCCGGCGGAATTAAGGTGGCCGGAAAGCATCGGACAAGGTGAGACTAAGCGCATGAAAATGGTGATGGTATGGGGGGGGATTCCATGGTGATACCACCGTGATGAAGAGGAATCTCCGCGAGAAACAACTCCTCCCTCCTGTGGACGCCACGCGCCTAACTTTCTAGAGACGGCCTTTATAGGCAGAGCTCAGAATCTGTCTCCGTCGGAGGACCAGTACCACGTGAAACCCCGGGGAGATGAACCAGGATAACGCTCCATGTGGTCCCAACGACGGCGCATGTCGGATGCCCAGAGAGGAAGACGAAGACCTCCCCGAGCGACGCGCGCGCCACCCTTTGCAGCTCCCGTTAGGGTTTCTGCTCTGAACACGATTGCTTTTAGGGTTTCCTGAGGAAGTATTTCTGAGATGGAAAAAGCAGACGCATTCTTATGCCCTCCTCCATAAACCAATCTCCGTTTCTAATGGTTTAGAGAGAGAGAGAGAGAGAGGACATCTGGTTTTGTTCCTTCAGAAATTGAGGGGTGCATGGACGAGTTTATATCAACGTAAGAATCTATGCATCATTGTTGAGGAGAGGGACGACAGAGAAAGATGTTTGACTTTTCTCTTCCACAGTTCTGCGTACAATCGGGAAACCGTAGCCGTCTCAGGGCTACGTCACTTGCGGGGATGAAGCTCCCACTTGGAGATTTTGGTCTCGCATCAGATAAGCTGGAGAGAGAAAGAGAGGGATAGAGAGAGAGGGAGAGCCGTGTGAAAGCCGACGCCTGGCAGTATAAAAACTACTCGAAGCCTCCCTTCTCAGTGCACAACCGGGACTCCTCTTCCTCGCGGCCGATCCTTTGGGCCTGTCTCTCACTAGCCCGCAGCCGCGGTGGTCTCTGGAGGTGGAGAAGGAGAGATGTCGGGGGTCTGGGTGTTCAAGAACGGCGTGGTGAGGCTCGTCGAGAACGAGCAGCCACGCACAGCCCGCCGCAAGGTGCTTCTGCACATCCCCAGCAACAAGGTGATCACCTCCTACGCTTCTCTGGAGCAGAAGCTGCTGGCCCTGGGGTGGGAGAGGTACCACGAAGACCCCGACTTGCTCCAGTTCCACCGCCGGCCGTCCATCGACCTCATCTCCCTCCCCAAGGACTTCTCCAACTTCAGGTCCATGTACATGTACGACATCGTCGTCAAGAATCGCGGTGCGTTCAAGGTCATCGACACCTAACACCACCCAGGAGGTCCTATAGAGAGAGAAGATCGAAGATCCACCGACCATTCTTCCCTGTTCATCCTTCTCCCCTGTGCCGAGCCTGGGATTGTCCCGAAGAAGCTCGACTCCCATGGTTCCGTCGTGCAGCTACGCCTTGTTTGCCTCCCCTGTGTTTGTGGTTTTCTTGAACTCGTCCCCAATGAAAGCTCTACAGCACCGCCTGAATCTCTTCGTTTTTAAAAAGCCCACTGATTCAACGCCACCAGAATTCATAGAGATGGGTGGATAGAGAGAGAGAGAGAGAGAGAGAGAGAGAGGAAGAGAAATCTACTCGTGAATTGCCAGAGTAGGGACTATTCTAACATGCATGGATGAAAATAAAGGATTGTTGGTGCAAAGATGAGGGAGGAAGGAGAGAGTCTAATGGGACCCTTTTATTTTTCCTGATTTCGAAACAAAGGTAATCAATACAGTACGTCGGAGTATGTGTGTGTGTGTGTGTGAAAGAGAGAGAGTTTAATGGAGCTGTAATTGTTTTTGGCACAATCGTAGAAATATCCTTTTAATATGGGTACATAATATTCAGGACATACTCCAGCTCCATAACTACGAGTCTTCTTTAGGAGGCGTCCGTACACACATTGCTGTCCATCCTTTCATATTATTTATAAAAAATACTTCAAGAGATTGTAGATATTCTTCGGGGGATCGACAATCAGCTCTACTGTGTGCGGGTTGGCATGATCGTGAAGAGAGTATATAGGCAATTGTGAATCATAAGGGGATATAAACGTTAATGAGCCCCAAGAAGGGAAGAAAACGCCCCATGGATATCCTTCATCCCGTCCCATGGAGCTGGCGAATGGGGGGATTCTGGAGGTCCGGTGATCAGTCGACGTTTCCTCGTCCGTCTCCAAACAGGAGTTTCTTTCCTAGGTTCCGCAGAGCAGTGGGTTCTTAGCTAGGGCGCTCCGCCGACCTAGGTTTTTGTTTCGGATACCTCCGCCTGCGCGCTCCGTCGGTTTTTGAGGCTATCGGAGGATCCTTCAGAGGATAATAGGCAGAAGACTTCGGCTCTAAGTACATCGCCTGGAATTCCGTTTATCTTTCTCTAACTTTTTTTTTCCCCTCCCGCCGCGGTAACTGCGAAGCCATCGCCTTGACGACGGTCGAGAATGGCCTTTCGTGCGACGGGGACGCGTGCTCTGAGGCATCAAGCGTCCCTCTGGTGTTCGGCCTCGTCTCTGTCTGCTACATTACGGCGAGGTTTCTTCTCCCGTCTTGTAAGTACTTCGTCTCTCACTCTCCTTCCATCGCGTCCCCAGTCCTCTGGTGCCGCCGCTCTTTTTGGAAAATGCCTGCCGTATGCTATTTATTAATGTTTCCTTGAAAGCTGAGAACATAATTTTGATGGATTTTTATCAGACGCGGGTTGAAGAGGCGCGAAGAAGCGTTAGATATCCAATTTGTCCTTCGGCTAGTGCTGTTTCCTTTATGGTTTTGATTATCCTCTGTAATTATTCGTAAGCACTAGCATTTAGGTTCAACCTGCCTTCCAAGTAGAGAAGATCACGTGATCATTCGACTCTGAGAAAAAAAAATTGCGCTTATTCCGTAACATTGTGCAGGTTAATACGCTTATTTTTGCTGAACACGAAGAAGGCCTTGTTAAAAATTCATCTGTAAGGGCCATAGAAGCGGCAGGAGCCATCAGCAAGGAAAATTCTATTTCCGTTCTGTTGGCTGGTACTGGTCCGGATCTTGAAAAAGCTGCTTCACATGCAGCCTCTGCCCATCCTTTGGTTTCACAGGTAACCGGCACTGTTTATTTGAAGCCGATTATTATCTGAATGTTGTCATGCAAGGGGATTTTTCTTCGACAAGATTAAGAGTTCTTTATTTTTATTTGCTGATGAAAATAATGAATGTCACCTGATCGAGTGTTTATAGGTGTTTTATTATCACGTAGCCTTCCATTTTAGGATTGACTTTTTGCAAGTTAGCTCAGTATAATCAAAATTAGTTTTCTTCTTTGTACCCTATCTTAGCCTGTTAACATTTTGATGCTCAAACAATCTCAAGCCTGACTCCCCTGAGTCCGATCTGACAATGTGATGGCCAACCCAGCAGATCCGTTTGACAACCCATGCTCACATGAGTAACTCTCATATAGGTTCCCATTCTGTGCATGGCTTATTATAATTCAAGCTATCCTATACTTGTGCCATTGTGAGAATTTCTTTGGAAACATTGCTGGACGATAGCTAACTGATGTAACCCAACTGCTGCGTCACTAACCCTGTACACTGTTTTATGGTGGAATTCTTTCTGCAATTTTCAGTTTATGTTGATCCATAAAATTACTGATTGCCTGTATCGTGCAGGTCCTTGTTGCTGACTCAGACATGTTCTTGCATCCTGTAGCTGAAACTTGTGCAGAACTTGTGAAGTTGGTTCATCAAATGGGTAGTTATTCATACATAATTGCTGCTTCGAATTCATTTGGGAAGAATTTGATACCACGAGCTGCAGCTCTTCTGGATGTTTCACCCATTACAGATGTCATTGAAGTGCCTGAGCCTCGGATATTTGTCAGGTTGTTTTCCTTAAATGTTTCATTTATTCCTAGTTGCAATAGGTTAGATGGCTGTGCACAATCGATACATAGAGTCTATGTTTGCTTTGGTTGTGTTTACCTTATTCCGTCAGAGTGATGTGAACATCTCATGTAGTTCATTTGCAATATGCATATAATCATGCTTTATTCTTTCCCACTGAAAATACTGTTATCTTGAAAATGGAATATATTCTCGATTTCCCATTGCGATTGTTAAATGCGATCTGTTACATGAAAAGATATTGGAGACGTATAGACGTATTTCTTTGGGATGACTATTGCCTTAAGATCATGCAAAGAGTACACTAGTGATACTTTGATTACTGTTGTAATGAAAACATGGATGCTCATCAACAATGTGACCCACCCTCCAGTATAAGTCATATATGGACATTGATTATGAACAACCTCCTGTTTAAACCAAGAAAATAAATGTATGCATGATAGTAACCATTTGTCTTAATGCATCACTCCAAATGGTGTTTGATTCATTTTTTTTTTGTGACGTTGTTAAACATGGAAACTTTTATTCGTTTGTTTTTTACTTGGTACGTTTTTAGGAATATCTAATTAATTTCTTGTCTGGTGCATTTTGCTAACGAGATCCAGCTATATGCAAGTATCTTCCTTGCACTATTGGTTCTGCTCTCATAGGGAAAATAATTCTTATGGAAAAGACACCTACTTTGACCAGAAATAACTTGTGTTTTCCCCTGTCATCCAGCTGTAAAAACAGGAAAGAGAAAGACAAACTGAAAGAATGGCACTAAAATTTTCGTACGGAATCAGATGTGATGGAAAATGGTCTAATTAATTGCCCAGCAGTTGTGCTATGGTGAACTGACTCTAAAAGGTCGAAGGCTGAATTATCATCTCTACTCCACATCCTGTGTGACTGCGGCCACATCCTACTTTCCTTTTCCTTGTCCTGCAGCCACACCCCTATTATTAACAGCTGATTATGTCCCTCTTACCTACTCATGTGGATCCTCATGAACTTTCACCTCCCCCTCTGCTTTTCTCTACAGGTCTGCTCCCCTCTCCAGGGCTGCCTTTCTCTTCACCTTTTTTGACTCCAGATCTTCCTTTTCGCTGTTTTCTCTATGAAAACTGAAATTTTATTACCTTCACTATCATTGATTAGCTCCAATCCTGCGTGAAGCTCCTCAATAACCGCTGGGGTCTTTTCCGCTGTTATTAGATGCAACATCTTTTAAAAAAATATCATTGGGAAAGGAAAATAAGACTGGTCTTTGCCACAGAAGCATGAAGGACGAACTGTGGCTGCATGGTTGAATAGAGGCAGCCAAAGTTAGAGAAGCAAAGGAGAGAACCTTTCATTAGTTCTTAACATAGTAACATAAATGGTGGGTGTCAATTCTGCATCATCACAACCATTCTTTTTTCAGGTAGATATCAATGCATTGTTTCTATCAATATGCCTGAACTGCTGGTATTATACATGTTTCTTTCATAAGCAGTGATGTTTCAACGTATTAATGTTACATTTTTTTATCATTGAACATTATTTTTGAAAAACTCTATCTACCTTTCAGAGTCTCCCCCAGAGTACATAGAGATTGGTTATATTTGTTTCCTGTTTCTAAAAATTTTTTATGTCCCCATCAGGATTTGCTTTGATAGGGTATGTTTACTTTGTGATAGGCCAATTTATGCTGGCAATGCCCTTTGCACTGTCAAATATACTGGTACGGATCCTTGTATGCTGACCATCAGATCCACATCCTTCCCTTTGTCAACGTTGGAATCAAGAACTGAGGCTTCTCCCATTTCACAGGTTGATATATCAACACTGAAGGAAGGTTTGTGTCGTTTTTGCATGAAGTTTTGTCTTTTTATAATTTTGAGAATTTCTAGAGTTTTTATTGTAAAACTTGAGTGTGCATTTAGTTAACAAATTATATTAATTAAATAAGGTATAAGTTACTCGGTTCCTTGGCTAGAATTATGTGAACATGATGTTCTTTTAAAAGAGATATATAATAAAGAATTTTTCACTGTTTTTCTGAGGTATATCCTGCTGTTAGCTCACTTTGTCAAGCAGTATCTACCCTTTAGAATCATTTGTGGTATTTGTTCTCCTTTGCTGTCTACTTCTAACTCTGGACTTTGCCAAGGTGCGACAGTGGTGGCCTGACAGCAGAGTTGTAATAATTTATCTACTCACATATCTTATATGGCATGTCCCTCTAAGATATCTGCAATATCCAAGATCTCAGGACCACAGGCCAGAAGAAGATTAAGGGATTATAAATATTACCCTATACCTAGGTGATAGGATTGGACAACGGATTATAAATAACAGGAAAAGTTTCACATGGAAAAACCAAAGCACTATTCTAATATTTTAGGTCATCATGGAATTACAACTGTTTATAGTAACTTCAGCAATTGACCATTTACAGCTGTCTTCACAATATTGATAACTATGCTAAATAATTCTTGAAATCTCTGCATATTTCTTTTCAACCATTTGCTTAAAGTACAGCTCAAGAAGCACCAACCATTCTTTAAACTAAAAACTTCTCGGATGCAATTTCACTGAGATGGACTTTCTTGGGTTGACACCTTTTTATGTACAATGATCAAAAAGTTCATCTGCATCACTTCTTTGTTTCTATGATCAAGCATACCCAGTTATTAATTTTGAATGCATTTTAATGCATAAACATCTTATATTCCCATGTAGTAGTTTCAACTCGATAGTGACAACTTCTTTGAAGATAGGAAAGCCCGAATGACTGTCAAGTTGTCAAGTTGACGTGTCTTATCAGCCATTCCATTCCCTGAACCTTCTTTATTTTTTATATTGGCCAGACATTCTTGGGCTACTTTGATGATTGAAACTAAAGCATATACATGACTGTTGTCATTCTGTAAGTCTGTGGGTACTCTCTATTGTGTTTAGATGGATGGCAGACTAAAAGTGCCACAATGTTTGTCTGTAAGCAGCTGCCCTGGGAAGATCAAGATGGCTAAGTCTCACATCTCAGGATACAGAGCGCCCTGACCTTGGAAATGCACGAATTGTTGTTACGGGTGGTCGTGGGCTGAAAAGTGCTGAGAACTTCAAATTATTGGACAAGCTTGCCAATAAACTTGGTGCTGCAGGTATGGCTACCCATGAAGCTGTTTAATTGGTTATCCATTTATTTTATTTTCTAGTTTGTTTAATTTCTGGTATATGAGATTCTTGATGTCGTCACCTCTTTGTCTGGAGATTTTTCATTAATCACTCAGAAATACATTCAATTCTTATGTCATCGACTCTACTGTCTTATCCTGTCAAGATAGGCACAGGTGGTGGCGGATCAAGTTGGTGTTAAAGTTTTCATGTACACTTGATTTTGTGATGTGAAGTATTAGGCCATGGCTATTTTGTATTATACACGGGAGAGGATATGCCAAACACCTGTGAGACCAATTTCCAGGATGAAGGCTAAATAGATTTGCAGTTTGGATGCACTCAACTAAGGAGCAAACTTGACCAGTGATCCTGCATTTTTAGACTAATCCGGACAACGAAGAAACAAATGCATATTCACGCTATATTCTTCATGGCTTTTGTCGCCCAAATAGCTAGCTGGAGTGCAGCTTCTTCTTGTCACTACCTGTGAACTCGTACAGACATTCTGGCTGATAGACTAAATCTTGAATAAGCCAACAAAATTTATAAGAGTTTTGTTCAGCCTGGGAACTGGCATGTTCAGTGTTAGCTCAAAATATTGGTTTGTCTGCTTGGTTTTGGTTTTGATCTGAAGAAGAGTGAAAGTTGTATGCAGGTTTCAAATTCATTCATTTTTTAAGCCCCAGCTTAATGCTATGATTGCCTCCAAATTACTGTTTCTTAATGATACCAGAGGCCTAACTGAAGTAATGTTATTCAATTAAAATGCTAGATATTCGCTAAACTGTAATTCAGTTATCTGATCTATACTCTTCAACATGAAGTATAACTAAAAACGTTTTGTCATGAAACTGAAACTGCTGGTATTCACTTTTATTGATCAACAAATCCTATTTATTTTGTTATTATTAGTTTTTTTTTAAGCCAGTTTAAAGATATAAAATTTTCTACTAGTAATTGTTCTGAGATTAATTTTTTGCGCAGTTGGGGCTACTCGAGCTGCTGTTGATGGAGGTTTTGTTCCGAATGAGCTTCAGGCACTAAAAATCTATCCTCATGACTACTTGAAATACCTGCTTTTTAACCACACTATTATTTATTTTTTTCCTTCTGAAACAGTTTCTAATCAATCATTCTTCGATTAGTGTTGGTATGAGTCATTCAATTGTTGAATCTCATTCGAAGTGCTATTGCATATTTTATTTATTTATTGGATTTTTTTACATTCAAAAGTGAGGGTCTAGACAAAATCCCCAAAGCCAATGCTAAAAAAAGAGAAGAAAATACTAAATCCTGGCCCTCTCCAGATCGTGCAATAGTCATTCCTTAACTTGCATGTTCTTAGTCCAGTATCTCACTTTGTCAGAAATAGCATTGACCATCTCATCTGGCAAGCAACTCGGCACTTGAAAAATATAGTTTGGTCCAAGGGGTCATATGCAGGACAAGCTTTTAGACTTGACGGTCACCTGCGAGTATTCAATGCCAATAATCGACGTCCATGTCTCACTCCACTTATGATTTTAAATTCTGTGAATATTGTGTTTATTAGCACATGCCATATCTCCTGTTGAGAGTGATCTTGGATCGTGCCTAAAGAGTGTAAGCTGCTCTTCGAAGTCCACACTTTGACAAGGCACGGGCGTCCGGTACCTCCATCTGTGATGATTTGATATGACTGAACTGTGAAGTTTCCTCATCTATACAATTTTCGTCTCCGCAGGACTATCCCTTCCAATGCCTTCAACCTTTCTGCTCTGTCAACAGAGAACTCTTATTTGCACAATTTCCTCTTCCCTGAAGTTCCTTCTACACTTTGGAGTCCAACCTTGTCTCAAAACACAAATCAAATTATTCTGCAATGGTGTAACATGACTATTTTTTCTGTTCTGGAAAACTATATAACTTCTCTTCTACATGGCTTCAATGGCATTTTCTTCTATAACAGAGTTCTTTTAGCCATTTCTTTAAGAAAGGTCATAACTTGTCATCACCATATCTGTGGAAACCATTATCATGTGAACATCATCAATAGTGCTTGACATCAATAGCTTGTCCCATAATCTCGTCCTCTTGACCAATGCCGCTGTTCTTTTGTTTCGCTCTCATATTCTTTCCCACCTGATGTTGTGCTATCATCTACACATGCCTTTCACATCTTCTACACATTCCAATCGGTGGATTTTCTGGTTTCTCATTTCATCTAATGTACCCTCGTCTTGTCCATAGGAATTCTATAAATAAAAGAGCAAGGCATAATAGTGAGAATTTTTATATTTATGCTTGGATTCCTACAAAATATGGATTTCAACTGCCTTTAGAAGGAAACTTCGGTTTACATTCGAGAGCTTACATTCTCTGCGCCAATTAGGCACCTTTGTTGCCGAAATATTTGACCGGGACGTTTTTTATGCTTACAGAAAATTTGGCTATGAATCTTATTCAGATAATTTACACCTGATGCGCCTCAGGTTGGTCAAACCGGGAAAGTTGTTGCTCCTGAGCTGTACCTGGCTTTTGGCGTATCTGGGGCTATTCAGCATTTGGCTGGGATGAGAGACTCAAAAGTGATTGTGGCTGTGAACAAAGATGCTGATGCGCCGGTATTTCAGGTGACTTGTAAACCTGCGAAAAATTTCACATCATACATTACTTCTCTCACCATGGCTTTGATTTATTTATGCTATCATCATTGTCAACGCTTGAAATTGAAAACTCTATGGAATCCCCTGCAGGAGATAACAAATCCCCTCATGTGATAACAAGTTGTTCATTTGCCGAAGGAATTAACTGTAATAAACCTAATTACCTAACGTACTGATGCTTGCGGACTTCAGACGCAGAGAGAGAGAGAGAGAGAGAGAGAGAGAGAGAGAGAGAGATTGTTTCCCCTGCAGGAGTGGAAAAAGAAAATGAATGGCAATATCATCATCTGCAGAGACATCTTTCAGGAAGTTCTCATTCGATCGTCTCTTTTCGATTTCAGGTTGCAGACTACGGGCTTGTTGCCGACCTGTTTCAGGTCTTGCCTGAGCTTCTCGAGAAACTACCGGAGAAGAAGTGAGTGACACATGGGGTGATTCCATTGCAGTTCATTCCCATTTTTAGCCAATTCCTTCAAGAGCCCCGCCACCAGAGACCCATCCATCATCAATTCCTGGTGCAGGGAGACGCAACGAGCTTCTGAATATGCGTAGATCAACCAGGAGAACCCTGCGAATTTCTGAATTCGTTCATAAGAGTAAGACCCGTTTGGCTTTCGTTGTGAGGGAATCGATTCTTCTCGGGTTTGATTGTTCCTATCCGATTTTGCTCGGTTTGCGGCATTGTCTATATAAATAGTGGATTTCAAGCTGGGGAGAAGCAAATATTCAAAAGTTAAGGTTAAAAATTGTCAGTGAAAAATTGAGAAGGGTGATGGATTCGCAAAATAGGAAAGGCCTCACTGCCCGCGCTATCTTTGGCGGTATCGGCGCTCTCCCTCCTCCCGGGGGAAGTAGCCGTTTGAGTTTCTGGCGGATTAGCCCGAGCAACTCCTCCCTCCGTTCCGACCTCGTTTGCCGCCGGTGCATCCTCCGACTCCCTCACGGTCCCTTCCTCCTTTCCTCCTGCTCCGAGATCAGTCGTCGAACCAGCTCTTTGCTTCTCCTCCTATGATCCGCGGTAAGAGTGTCGAAACGGAGGAGACCCTAGGTTCTTTCCCAACGTGAGGAACGATCCATACGGTGGTGCAAGTCTCCGATCGCGCTGGTGTAGCTTCATTGGTGTTTACCTTCGCAAAGAATATGTGGAACGTCACGGCGCGTTATCTGCTGCCTCCCCGGCGCGACCGCTTGTTAGTGCCGTGGTCTCTTTTGCTGCCGGCAGGTACGTGAGGTCCCTTAACTCTCATCTCATGTAGGACTTCGTCGGCGTAAATCATCCAGACAAGACATAGTGAAGATCGTACCGACGTCGATGCGGCTTGGGTTCCTGCATTATAGCTTACAGTCCGATCGGCGTCCGGAAACAGAAATTTTACCCTGTTTCCCCCCAAATTTCGTGGTAGGTGTATAAATTCACGGATGAGAGACGTGGGTGGGGGGTGGGAACAAGTTAGTTGAGAATGTGCCACCAAAGCCGAAGGGGGAAATGCACATCCAAGAAGGCTAACCTTTTCAATATTTTGTTGGGAGGTATATAAAAACATTTAATGCGATTATTTTCCACAATTCTAGTCGTATTTTGTAATCTTGTGCAGAATTTTGAGAAAGAAGGATCCTTAGAGGTAAGATCGTTTACCATAATTCTCATCGTACTTTGTAATCTTGTACAGACTTTGAGATAGAAGAATATCTGGGAATACTATTTCTAGAGTCAGTAGTCCCTACTGTAAAAAAAATAAATGGAAAACTCTATTTCCTAAAAAACTTTTCTGAACAAGATCATTGCATGATGGCCATTTATACTGAGTTTGGAGACCCTTTTGGTTCCATGGTCTAATGCTTAAGATCTATCTCTTTGGTCTACAATATTTTTTTGTACAACTAGACAAATTAACTAAGTTAAAGTGTATTCCAACACATTATTCATATGCTATCACCAGGTAACAATTATTGGAGATAATTTGTCAACTTAATTTTTTGATTTCTTAACTTATATTTAAAATTTTATAAAAAAAGAAAATAAGGATGCGGATGTAAAGGTGACATTAACATCCCGATGAACGTAATTCAAGTAGAAACAGAGTTACACCTAACGATTCTTACTTGAACGATTACAAATAATTTAACTGATAAAATTAAGATATGTAAAAATTAGAAGAATCATAATTGAATGAAGTAGAGTTAAAAGTAGGAAAGACAAAATTCTAGCTTTGTGACAACAATCGTCAAAATTCTATGTTCGAGAAGATTATCAAACAATGTTTGTGACCTCAAAGGCTCTCTTTGGATATAAACGACTTGGACATTTGTTGAATTTTCTTTCGAAGTTTAGAAAATAATATTGTAAGTTAAATTAATTAAAAAATGATAAAATAGAGTTTCAGTGTTATGACAACTATGAGTCAAGATCTTAAGTGTCTAAGAGGACTATTGAATAATGTCCACAACCTCAAAGATTCTCATTGAACATGGACAATATGAGAAATCTTTAAATCTTCTTGTAAAGTCTAGAAAAATGATAACTTGATGGATGATGTGGGTCAACGAATCATTGAGCATGGACGATGTGGGTCAACAAATCATCTTCAACGGTTGTCACTCGATATAACAGAAAAATGATAACTTTACAGATTTTCGATAATTGTCGCACAATGGAGATAAGCTGGATGGAGGTGGGGCATGTCATAAGAAATTTTATCATCAAATCTATGTAATAAGAGGAGGCTCTTCATCACGTCTGGTACACATCAATAGTAGGCTTCACGCTTCTTCAGTAATAGGCTTCAGGTTTTGGTCCCCTTCTTGAAAAGGACCTGTCTCAGAGTCTGTAATTTGCTCAAGATAATACTCATAGATATCTATAACATTGAATGTAAATGAAATTTCCACTGTCTCTAGTAAGTCAATGACATATGCATTGTCATTAATCTTTTGAAGGACTTTAAATAGACCATACTTCCCATGGATTGAGTTTGTGATAATCTCCTATTGTCACTCATTCTTTTCTCAAGCATATCATAACCAAATCACCACTATTAGAGATCTTCTTTCTTCTTTTTGTCTACCTTTTTCATCTAGTTTGAATAATTGGTTATAAGATGCTTCTTCACATTTTCATATATTGTTTAGATGTATTATGTCATGTTATTTACTACTACACTTATAGCAGGTTTTCTTGGTACTTCAATCAAGTCAAGAGAGACTTTTGGTGGAAAATAGTAGACAATAGAAAATAGAGAGTAATTTGTAGATTGATTTCCCATTATCTTGGTTTGTCTCCTAAAATACAATAGATTAAATTTCCAAGTGTCTTGTTAACTAGTTTTGTTTAACCAAAATGAAATCCATAAAAAAGTCAAAATAAAATCCATCTGAAAATAAAATTCATAGAAATGTTAATAGTTTTGTTTGCTCCTCTTTGCGTACGTGATAATCTCAAAATAAAATCTATAGAAATGTCAATCTATACTTTATCTAGAATGGGTAACGAAGTGTACAGACCTATGTTCTAGCACTGTCTTTTATTAACTTGGCAAATTTGACATCTTCACACAAAACTTTCAACTTTTTTTTAAAATTGTGGCCAATAATAGTGTTCTTCCATCATTTTCAAAGTATTGTCACAGCCCAAGTGTCCCCCCAAGTCCTCCTACATGTAATTCTCGAATTAACTTCTCACACAAAGACGGTCGAAAGATACATAACTAATTTTTTCGAAATATGTAATCTTCAAGAACGTGAAATCCCTTAGATGATTTGCCTTGTTTGCACATATACCATCTTTCAGCAAAATCTTTATCTCCTACATAAAATTTTGTCATATATTCAAAACCAATAACTTCTCTTCTCATTGTAATCAGAAATGCTGATTTTCAATTTAGTGCATCAGCTACTTTATTTGATTTTCCGGATTTCTGTTTCATCACAAAAGAAACTTTTGAATAAATAAAATCTATCTAGCATGCATTATGTTAATAATTATTTAAGATTGGTCATTCCAAAGAATATACATGATGTTTGCTGTTTTCATGACTTAGCATCCTTTTATAGAAGATATAGCATGTACCCAAAGAATATGTACACTCCACTACCCATTCCAGATAAAGTGTGGACTGACATTCCTATAGATTTTATTTTGGGATTACCACGTAGTCAAAGAGGAGCAAACAGAACTATTGACATTTCTATGGATTTTATTTTGACATTTCTTTACATTTTATTTTGGTTAAATAGAACTGGTTAACAGGACACTTGGAAATATAATCCATTATATTTCAGAAGACAAACTAAGACAATGAGTAATCGGTCTACAAGTTACTCTTTATTTTCTATTGTCTACTATTTTTCACCAAAAGTTTCTCTTGACCTAATTGAAGTACTAAGAAAACTTGGTACAAGTGTAGTAGTAAGTAACATGACATAATACATCCAAATAATATATGAAAATCTGAAGAAGCATCTTATAACCAATTATTCAAACTACAAGAAAAAGGCAGACAAAAAGAAGAAAGAAGATCTTTGACATTGGTTATTTGGTTATGATATACTTGAGAAACGAACGAGTGACAACAAGAGATTATCATAAATTTAATCCATAAAAGTATGGTCCATTTAAAGTCCTTCAAAAGATTAATGATAATGCATATGTCATTAACTTACAAGAGATGACGTGACTTAGTCGTTGTATAATAAACCATGTAAATTTAAAATTTATTAAATTATAAAATATTAATTTTCAGGTATTTAAAAGTATTTCTAAAAAAATATATCAATTAATTCAATCAAACTTCTAAAAATAGTGATAATTTCGGGTAATTTTTCAGAATTTTCTTCAAAGAATACAATTTTATATAAATTTTATACTAAGAAATGAAAATAAAATATATTTAAAATTCGTGCAAAACGAAATTAAGGGTGCAGACGTCAAGATGTCGTCAGCACCCGACGAACGTGAATTGGGCAGAAATAGAGTTCCCCCCAACGATTCTTACGTAAGTGATTACAGATGATTTAATTGATCAAATTAAGGTCTGTAAAACCCAAAAGAATCATAATTGAATGAAATATAGCTTGGTAAAGACTGGCAAATTCTAAAAAATATACATGATGTTCATAGTTTTCATGGCTTAGCATTTTTCTTTTATAGAAGATTTATTTGAAATTTTAATTCAATTCTAACTCCGATCACTGAGTGCATGAGAAGAGGAAACTTTCAGTGGGCAGAGGCAGCAGATAGAAGTTTTATTTTAATTATAGAAAGGTTAAGTTCCGCCTCTATACTAGCACTGCTAAATTTTGATAAATTATTGGCGGTAGACTGTGTTGCCTCAATTACTCTAGAAAGGTTGTCTAGTACCTTTTCATAGTGAGAAACTAACAAAAGCTAGAAGAAAATGGACTACATGTCAATTATAAATTT